ACCGTGAAGGTTTATTGATGGCTTCCTATCTGTAAGGTAGAATTTGTTACAGATTTATAGGCTGTTGAGGGCTGAATGCCTGCAGCCTCCCCAAATTCGTATATTGAAGCTCCGGTCTGCAATGTGATGGTTTTTTGGAGGTGGTGCCTTTGAGAGGTAATTACATTTAGATGAGGTCATCAGAGTGAGGCCCCATCATGGGACGAGGGACAAAGAAACAGGCAAAGACCAAATCTGTATTATGATAAATCACAATATCAGAGGCAGGAATAGAGGGGAGTAGACCAGGACATAACATTTATGTGACCTCTCAGCACCCTCCACTTTCTTTACCCTGAGTACTTATTGCTTGTCTAATGTCTGTTGTCTCTGCTGGACTGTAAGCTCCATGAGGGAAGGGATTCTGATTCTCTTTTTCTCCATTTTAGCCTCCAGGTGCCCAGCACAGACAATTTATTATTAATTTTAATCTATTCTGAAGCTCCACCATCCAATGATGTAGGACCTAGCCCTGTGCCTGAACATAGTAGGGACTTGGCAAATGTTTGTTGAATGATGGGGGGGAAAAGAATGAAGTGAGAGGTGGCCTCAGTTTTGGTGGTCTATGAATGGAAGCCCCTTAACCCTGCCCTCAAAAATGTCCCTCTGTGAGGCTTGTATAAGTCAGGACACTTTTGTGGTGAGTGTCAGGAACCAACTCAAAACAGCTCATGAAAAAGGTCCTATCAGCTCAAATGATTGGCGTGTTCAAGGGTGCAGCTAGCTTAGGCATGATGGGATCAGGGCCCAAATAATGTTGCTGAGATCTGCGGGGGTTTTCCACTCCTTGTTTTGTTTTCCTCAGCATGTGGGTTTCATTCTCCATGCAGCGGGGCAGATAGCTACTACCAGTCACAAAGGACAAGCTTTGGGTTTACAATCTAAAAAGAGGAAAGTCCCTCTCCCACCCCAGGTTAATACATCAAGCCTTAGGCAAGACTCTGACTGCCTTTGTTTGGGTCATGTGTCCAACTCTTACTCCTCACTGATTGGCCAGCCTGCATATGTCTGCTGCCATGGTGGGTGGCCTCCATAGAGTTGGGTGAAAGTTGAGTGGGTCCTCCAAAGGAAGGCATGCCAATCATAAACATGCATGTAATAAGGGCGCTTTTATTCAAGTCCAGTAATATTTCCAATTGCTACATAACTTTTTGATCAACTGATGTCTGGCAATATTGAGAAGTCTTTGATCCTGGAAGAGGGTCCTTTGATCAACGAAAGTTGCACTGAACCAGTTTAGTTTTGCATAGGTGCAAACCCCTTTCAAGTGCAGAGTGTTTGATCTCAGGTGATGTAACTGTTTGTCTTGCTGACTTGCACATGCGTATGATAGCAGGCTACTTGTGGTTTTCCTGAAGAAAGACAGACAGACATCAGACTCTCGAGTTTCTACCAGTTAATTTCAGGCAACCACATAACATGTACCAACTGAGTCTTCAGGCACTCTCTTCCTTTATTTAACTTCCTCATGCTTCTTTTCTTTTACCTTTTGTTTTTAGTTGATCCCTCAGTGTAGGTACACCAAATGGTGCAAGAGTGCCTTGATGGGTATGTTCTCCCGTTATCTTTGTAATATGCTCATTAACAAGTGCTAATACAGATATTATGCCTGTTCTTACAAGTTAACCTTCACTAAGCCACCTTTATATTTTTCCCCTGGTGCCTATCCCTCGTATCTATTGTTGTGTAACAAACTACTCCAAAACTTAGTTGCCTAGAATAACAATGATCATTTTGCCCGTAAATATGAAATGTGGGTGGGGCTTGGCAGTGACAGCTCATTCCTGTTCTATGTGGGAAGGTGAAGTGGGGTGGGTCTACTGGGGCTAGACCATCCATTTCCAAGATGGTGTACCCACGTCACTGCAAGCTGGTGCTGGCTGTCACATGGACCTGTCCTTTGGGCTTCCTCACACTATGGTGGCTGGGTTCCCAGAGAGGTGGTGGAAGCTGCCAGCCTCCTAGGGCCTGTACCCAGAAACTGGCTTGGCATCACTCCCACCATGTTCTTTTGGTCAGAACAGTCCCAGAGGCCACCCTAATTCAAGGAAAGGGGACATAGACCTCATATCTTGACAGGAGCTGTCGTAGAATTTTTGGCCATCTTTAATATACCACAGTGCCTCCCTCACAGCAGAGGCTTCTGGGCACCTTTGCTTTTCCGGATAGGTTGACTTATTTAAGACTTAAACATGGCTGGTGTCAAGGAGCTCATCTCATACATTTTTGTAGCTGCTTTGTTTCTAATCTACAGTGACAGATTGTAACACACTGTGAACATTCTGAGATATGCGTTGTCATTTTTTTTTTCTGTTGATGGGACTTTTCTGCATCTGATTAATGTATAATGATTTGGAATGACTTGAGAGACTGGTGTGAGGTGGTAACTCTCAAAGACAATGAAGAAGCAGGTGACACACTTTTGAAAGATTTTGCAGTTCTCAGTAAGCTTGAGGCTTTCTGTAGAAGAGCAGGCAAATCAGTCTTTTTTATGCAGAACTGAGAAAGGAGGGAGACATTCTGTTGGTCCTTTCTTTCCTGCTTAAATACATCTGTCACACGCTATTTTTTATTTCAGGCTTGATGGAATGGTCATGTGGTGTACTTGGATTAAATACTTGGGCTAAAGCATCTCATATATTTGCCCACCAACTTCACTTTGTAGCAGATTTACATTCCGTCTGGGATGCCAGATTGAATTAAATGCTTTTTTAAAGCCTGCAGTCTGACAAAAACCATTCCCCAGTCAGCATTTTTGCCATACTTAAAAAATAAGCATCTGCAGTGAGATGATGCAGCTTGTGTTTGCTTTTCTAGGGAAGAATCCAGTTTGGCCATTGGGGATGAGGCTGTGATTGGCAGAGAGCTGAGGACCCTGAGGGCCGATGAGGGCTGATGCTCGACAGCAGTTTCTCTTCTCCCATCTGGAGCCATCCCACCCTGCCTGGATCACAGGATGTCCGGTTTGAGGCAGTGGGTTAACTGTTTTCCAGGGTACCTTTTGTGTGATCAACATTTCAACCCTTCTCTGCCCTCCTGTGGGAAGCACGCACTTTCGTAGGTTTGAGAATTGTTTGGTCTCTTAATTTCTTGTCTCCCAGTCCACATTGAAGGAAATTCAGGGTCAGTGATATGGAGGTGGTCGCTTTAACGATTTAACATTTAGAGCATTGTTCGAAGGAGGTGGATTTTTGAAGCACCACACCACTCACTTGCTGTTTTTTTT